CTAGGCTAGGTGGCGCAAGCTACCGCCCGCTACAAAGAGTATAGCAATTAACATCCATCCATTTACCCATTACTTGCGTGACGGCGCAGTCACAATGGACTTACAAAAATTGTCTACTGACATATTCGAAGATCTTTATCCTCTGTATATCAGATTAGTGGAACACAACGAGGCCCCGAGTAGCGCGTTTGCCAATTCCTAAAACGTGACTATAATTTTAGTCAAAGGTAACGACAGTGCCGTGAAATAGTAACGAAGAATTGCTTCACTCGTGTGTCATGTCAGCCTTTAACACACGTTACCGAGAAAGAAAAAAAACCTTATTGCGTTACCTGTAACATTGCTATTTTTAACGCGTTACTTCCAACGCTGCCAAAGACAAGGGTGCTGTTCTGTCGTCCCAAGGGACGTATACTCTTGAAAAAGAAAAACACTATACAGCTGAGATTCGGTGGAATTCAAATAAAAAGGACCCGGACGTATGCGGACAAGGGAGCCCCTCGCAGGTGGCGCCTCTCTCTTATTGGCTGGCGTGAGTGATCATGTGACCAAAACGACAACCAGCGGCGTTCTCGTTGCAAGTCACAGTATACGATACATCTCGGAACATGAACGATTGCACGGAACTTTATTTCTGTAATGTTTGCCATTATCAGGGCCGGCCTTACATCATCAAGTATCCTAACCGAACTCTAACAGTGCCTCCTCCCTCCCTAACACATGCACACACACACTTGTCGCCAACCCCTATGTCTGGTACTGGGCATTATCCGTTGCAAACGGCGTTAGTTAGAACAAATCAACAAGTTCAAGAACAACATGCTGAAGTTGAGCTAGTTGGTACATAATTAAAAAGTAAACGGTCAGCTAGACAATAGGGACAAAACACAAACATGTGGAGAAACAGAAACAGACATACACACCGCTGCGTGTCTCTGTTTCTGTTTCTCCCTGTCTGTGTCTTCTACCTATTGTCTAGCTGACCGTTTACTTTTAAATTCAAGAACACTCGCGAAGCAACTCTGAAGCACATGGATGTACTGTCAGCAGCGATACGAGGTGGCCCAGTTTAGTGGATGGATGGGTGGATAGATGTTAACGGCTGTACCCTTTTTAAAGCGGACGGTATCTTGCGCCACCCAACTTAGTGCCAAAGCATCTAAACTGGGTTGCCTCTGGTGCACTAAGCTATATATGAAACCGACTGCCACATTGCGACAATTGCGTTCACGCCTCTTACTTTGTGATTCGTTGTTCGGCATTCTTATCGACTGATCATGCCTCCATTTTATAGACTGTGAGCTATAATAAGGTAGTTGGGGCTCGTCACGCCCGAAGCTCTCGAAAACTATATTGTTTATTCCGGCCTTTTTGTTTTTAATTTTAACAACGTAGCCTACCGGGACATATGCGTGGATTTCGCGTCACCGCGTCCAGAACGTCGTCGAACCAGCTCGTATTGCCACTCCCTGCACATCGACAGTGGCCCAGATAAATATACCCGCTTCTCCCCCCCCCCCCCCCCCCCCCCCCCCCCCCGGGCCGTCAAAAAAAATAAAAAAGTGGTCCTTCGATTTCCGCTTTATGACGTCATAGCAGTGTCACGCTGTCGTCGGTCGCGATCCTGGCGGTGTCACAGCAGCGGTAATGGACGTGGCAGACGCCTGCATTGTGCTGTGCTTGACAGTCCACGAAAGATATTCGGCAGCCAGGAGTTGAGACACCGTGTCGACAGCGACGTCACTCACGTCTGCTCGCGCTTTTGCCGGAAGTTCCGCGATTGACCACCAGGATCGCGACATCCGAGAACATTACACTCCGGCTTTTGTGACGTCATTTGCTGCCACTTCCAGTCCACTTTCAATGCACGTGCGGAATAGGACGCTAAACACAAGTGCCGAAGACGCGTTCGAGGTTATAGGATATAGGCGGGCTTGACACTGCTTTCATGTTTGTCTTGGGCCCAGTTTCATGCTCATACATTGGTCAAATAGACATAGATCATAGATGCATACTTCTTGGGAGACTCCCGCATGGATGGCATAGAGGAAAAGGGAGAAAAGGCCTCATCAAAAGGAGAAACAGGCAAAGCATGAGAAAAAAAAATAGACATCGTTTGGACATTGTATGATTTGGAGTGCACCTTGTTAACCCAGCTATGAGATCCGTTTCTCCTCAGACAGTTTCATGATCAGCGCGGGACAGAAAGTTACCTGCTTTTGCATCAGATCTGCGCGCGTGCGAATTAAGTAAAAAAGTTCCGTGCTCGGCGTCTGCACATCTGCCTTTAGATCCTTGGCATCAGCGGCGTAGACTTTCCATGGGGGGGGGGGGGAGGATGTGCTTTTCTGCGCAATTTTTTTTTACCCCGGCAATGATCAGTAGTTTATTTTAGGGGGTACATTTTACAGCGTATGTATATCGCCATGTGTCCGTCGCTGTGTGTCAATGGAGAGTTTTAGTTGATCGTTCTGATAGCCCCGATAACGATACTATGCATGCGCAAGGGAGGCGGTGGCGGAGTATCGGGTATTGTTATCGGAGTCATGGGAACGATCTACTAAAACTCTCTAATGTCAATCACCGTGCGAGCGTAGCCGTGTCACACGGCTACACTTTTCTCACGCATGTGGCTTTTCGCAGACGACTGCATCATCTATCGCTTCACTGGCCGCGTTAAGTTTTGACTCCACGACTCCGGTTCGGTTAACTCCGTCGGACTCGCTACTAAACGGACTTTTAAAACAGCTTCGGATGGAGTAGGAGCCCCCTATATAAACTTCCGGTTACTTTAATTATCTTTTTTTTTTTTCTGGTGGGACATTGAAAGATGGCAGGCTGCTGTGGAAGAAGGACGAATGGACCAAGCGCACGTAAAGTGATCGATGTCGCGTTACCATCTCGCAGGAACTGGAGATTGAAGCTAACGGAAAGCACGCTGGGATTCCATTTCCCATGTATTTTGTCATTAAAGGCAACGTGGGCGTTATTTTGTTTACATGCCACTACTAGAAGCTCGTTACATGGCACGTAAACAGCGTCCTGGCAAGGATCATGACCCAGACGGGAAAAGGGAGGGCCCTGACCCCCCCCCCCCCCCCCCCCCCCCCCGGATCTCACCAGGTCGGGCACGAGCCCCGATGCCTCCCCCCCCCCCCCCCCCCCCCCCCCCCCCCGTAGTCTACGCCTATGCTTGGCATGCGTAATCATTGTTCGAAAGAAATCAGTTTCAGAGTTCTCCTTCGACTGCCGGACAAAAAGAAAATTGAGCTAAGTATACGGAATAGACAAGGCACGCATTTGGGAGTTTTTAAACGAGAGATTTCGAGCTCGGTGCCAGGAAATCCATTATCAAACGGAAAGCTTTTTTTCCCTACGTCTTTAGTGACGCCTCAGTTTTTATTACTTTGTCGTTCAGAGTCTGCTCCCGTTTTTCACTCGTGAGAAAATCCTATCGTAAAGAATCGCCCAATCTCACTGCTACCTTTTTTATTTATTTGTATAACGTAATGCACGTGTGTAAAAATGAATAGATGTATCTTATAGTAAGGCGTGCACACCTTAATCAAAAAATAATAATGAAGTGCAGCTACTCAATCGAACAGTTACGAAGTAGGTAACACCTTACTCAGTACTGATTAACGAAACCACTTACTTTTCAAGTTTACTTATAGATAATATTAATCTACAAAAATACAAGCGATTTAGCAAAAGCCAAACGAGCTAGTGAAAGGCAAACCGAACAGATGGTCATTGGATCTGGTCGTTTTCAGGCTTGCTAGGGTCAATAATTAGGGCAAGTTGGATACATTGGGTGCGATCGAGAAAGGTAAACCTGGCTTCCCGCGTAAAAAAAGAACTGCGCTTCGCAGAAAGCTGGAACTCCATGAGAAAGTTACTCTGGTTGTGGTGGTAAAATGCGAAAATTTGAACACAGTACGTTCCCTGGAAAAAAAAAAATGCAAAAGAAAAGCAGAATGTTCCTATGAGCCGACGTTCATCTAAACTTAATTTTCATCGAATTGAAATTTGAGATTGTGGACTCGTGTAGCAAGTTTATCAGCGAGCAAACATGTCAGCGAAAAAGACAACAATATCGTATTTTTAACTGACAAGTTGTTTCCCTGAAATAATTGCTACAGGCGCTCACAAGCTCAAATATCGGTATGACAAAAAATAAGAGGTGGATGTCGGCTCATTAATAATTTTTGTTTTTCTTTTGCATTTTGTTTTTATCCAGGGAACGGAATGAGTTAAAATTTGCGCATTTTATCACCACCACAAGGGTAACTTTCTCGTGGAGTTTCAGCTTTCGGCAAAAAGCGTAGTTTATACATTTATGGGGGCTAAAAATCCGGGTTAACTTTTCTCGATAGGACGCTGCAGTTTTCATGTACAGCAGAAACCTCGGTCATGCTGTACAACATTCTTACGCGTCTGAATTATAACGCCAATGCCTCAGGGGAAGAAGTGAAGACGAGTACGGTGAGGCACGCAGTTCTCATAAAATGTGACGAAATGTCCATACAGACTCAAAAAGCAACCAAAATACGCCGTTTGTTTGTGCTCCTAAAAAGTAACGCGGTCAAGTAATTTTCACGCTAAGTAACAAGCTACAAGTAACACTCTGTACATGTATTCAGTAATTATTTTAATGTTGTCACCTAATAGCCGAAAGATGTTTGAACTCGCACAGTTTCCAGAAAATTTGATACTCAATGAAACTCTAAGCTTGAGCTTAAAACGTGGTTAGGTCGTTCGAAGCAAGCGCAAATACTTTCTAGTTCAGCTTTGGATCATGACGGGCTGCTTGTTTCATGCACGAATTCTCACCAGTCACACTGCTCGGTACTGTTCGAATGGCACACACACACACACAAAAAAAAAAAGGAAATCTCGCGTCAAGTCATTTTGCTTCACGGACGTGTCGTGCCAGCATCCCGTTTCGACGCAAGTCAAAAATAGACAAAAAGGAGCCCCCAAAATCCCGAGTTTCTTCCTCAAAGAACGCCAAAAGACAACATAATCCCAACCAGGGCGAGGACACCCGTTCCGGCCGACGGCGCCGGTGACGTAGTGCTGTTGGCGTCGACGTCATCCAACATAAAGCACTTTGTTCTCACCCTGCTGATCTCGTCCGCGCAAGACGTCCTGAGCGCCCCACCATCGCACTCGCACTCCAACGCCCTGTGGGCACGCTCCATCCTGAGCAAGATGCTCACGCTGTTCCGACACCTCGTCGAACACTGCGGCGCCGAACCGTCGAGCACCTCGTGGCAGAACCGCCGGTAGTAGTCCCACGCCAGCGAGCACACCGGATCGTCCATGCACTCCACGGTCAGCCCCGAGCAGGTGGGCTTCGACGATCCTCGCTGGGCGAAGCTATGGTTCGCCCAGGGCTGTTCCCACCAGCAGCTCGAAGTGCGGCGCCGCAGCGCGCGGCAGTACTCGTCGCGGCCGCAATCGCAGAGCAGGTACGTGAAGCCTTCTTCCGTGGTCGCCAGCGACACGAAGGACTGGCGGCACTGGACCGAACAGCGAGCCGGCGTCCGACCCGCCAGCTCTCGCTTGCAGTCCAGCCGGTGTCCGTGGAGGGCCATGTCGCAGGCGAGCCGCCCGATGCAGTCTTGTTGGGCCTTTTCGCAGAAGAGCCGCTGCTGGGGTTTGCCCGCGCACGCGCCCGAGAAGGCGAGGACGAGGTTGACCACGCGAAGCAGCATCCTCCGCCAGTCTGAGGAGGTCGAATCCGGGGAAGCGCTTGCGGGAAGCGCGGGAGCGAGAATGAGGGAATATGGGAAGCCTAAAGAGGATGAAAGCCTTTTTTTCTTTTTTTTTTTTCGCTCTCAGCCTCCTCTCTCGTCTGCCGTGGACGCGCGTGCGTGGTTTCGACAGCGAAGCCTTGTCGACGAAGTCGACCCAGGGCAGTTATAGGCACTAGCGGAGATGCTGACGCCAGCTAAGCGGCGCTGCGTGGGTCCACTAGTAATGACGTCTCAGGAAGAAAGGAACGGGCCTTATGTAGGAGGTGTAGGCTGAGTGCGATGGGAGTGGAAAACTTTCCCTATTTTTTTATGGCGCCGCTGCGGAGGGGCTCGAAGTCGATCTTCGCTCCATCTTTCAATATTTTTTTTTCTTGTTAATCTCTGAAGTGCATATTTTATTTCCACATGTTTTTTTTTTTTGTTTTTTGTTTTTTTTTTCGCTGCTCTGCGACTCGTTTTTGAAAGCTTCGATTTGCGAAAACGCGCGGGACCTTTTTTTTACAAAGAGGGTGGTGAAACTCCGGGAATAGAATCTGCGCCCGCTGAAATAAAGCTTCGAAGTGCTCGAGGCTTTACAGTGGCGCGAAAACAAATGGAGAGCCTTTATATAGTATTTCGAATGTATATTGTTCGCACTCCTGCTGCATTTCTATTGTATTACTTTTTTTACTCTTGTTATATTTGTATTGTATTGCTATTGTGCTCCTTTATACTTGTACCGCTTTTAGGTTGTGGTCACTTCATATTTTTTAATATTTTTATAGAATTGCTGTTGCATTTCTATTGCAGCTACCACTACTGTATCTGTTGCATTTTTTCTGTACTCCCATTGTGTTTCTATCGTGACTACTTCTATTATATATATATATATCTATTTTCTTAAATATCTTCATTAGTTTTTTTTTTTTTTTTTGAGCAATACATTTCTATCGGGACCGTCAAAGCCACAGGGACTTATGGTACAGAGCTTGATACTCAGTTTCGTGTTTTTTGTTTGTTTTGTTTGTTTTTGTGTAATATAACATCCTGCGGCAAAAAAAGACAACAACAACAACAAAAAAACCAATACCAATTACACACAATAAACATTTCTTCACAATACTTAGCAATCTGTTAAATATCTGATAACATTTGTATTACATCAAAACATATATATGGGTCATTCCATGTCAAACGTCCCAGGCGTAGCGCTCGACCACCTTCGAGTTCTAAAAACAAATTCATGGCCTTTTGACGCATTGTCCGTAGCCATGCTTTGCCCTAAAATATTATTGACGAAAAAATATTTTTTGATAGCGTGAGCGCGGTTTTAACTTTTAAAATTAGCGTAAAACTAGGTATCACTCCATAATTTATGAAAAATCTGTTTTTTTTTTAGGAAACACCCAACAATTATTTTTTCTTAAATCTGCACTGCTTTCGACATGCAATGTGGTTGGGCTTGTGCAGTTGTCTAATTTAAATATTAAAAGAAACACCATTTTTTCAAGTTTAAACTTTTAACATAGTTGTTATTTTATTAAAGAAATATCTAATTGCTCCGGGGACTCAATAGAACTTTTTACCGGCGGCCCTGCAGGCATATAATCTATATAAAAAAAAATGTTTAAACCGCTCATTCGAATATGTCCGGAGCTTGCCAAAACGTGCGTTTTGACGCATAAACAGCCGTTTATTTCACCCTGAGGTGGTTCAAGTAAAAATACAATATATAGTGGGTTTGAAAGAAAAATTTATTGTTTTTTGGCTCTGAAAGTTTAATCAAAGTAATTTTTGTTTAAAGCGGGAAAACAATTTTTGAAGTTGAACTCCCGCAACACAACCCGGCGTCGCTGCTTAACGCCTCTTCGCCGCACAGCACGCCCCCTATGACGATAGCTGACACGATTAGGTCCAAAGGAAAAACGGAGTTCAATGCCGCTTCCCCTTGTCCGTCTTTTCACCTGCAAGGGAAGAATCCATTTTCAAAAATTCAGTTATAACTGGAAAAGTTCACTTTAACCTTCCAGTCGTACCGCAGAGCCGTGGAGAAAAAGTGGAACGACAGTGTTGATCGAAACGTGTCCGAATGTATGGGATACACGTCGATCGGAACGTGAAGTCCGAAATGCCCCATGACTTCGCCAAGCACGAACGTGTTTTCAAACTCGTTGTAAGGATGACTGACTTGATGCAAGCTCTGCTTGTTGTGTTGTGCTTCAAAACGTCGCACCGTGTCTCGTTTGGCGGTTACAATTGGTTGATTGGTCCATTTTGGCTCAGGCAGCGCTTCATATCTCCTCAGCCTGCCAGTGTCCAGTGTTAGCGTTGAGAGGGCATTCTGGAAGCTCAGGGTCATAGTAACAAGAAAGAAAGAGTGCGGATCAACGAGGAGAACTTGGGAAAGTACATGCGTGTGAACTATAATAAGATCACGTAATCCTGATGTACACAAGGTGGAGTTTCATGTATTTTGGGCATAGGCTTCATATCTGACTTGTTTGTACTTCTGTGTTTTTTATTGCCTTTTTTTGGAGTTCACAAGAAATGGACAAATGAAGTGTCCATTTATTTTTCAATGTATCTGTGCCGTCATTCTTTTGAGTGATCACAAATCTCAGAGCTACAAGGATCATCTGATTCGGTGTCCGTTGGTGTTTCTTTTATATTCACCGAAGAAAAGCCGAAAAACTTTCGTGGGAATAAATATACGCCAAAAAAAAACGAAAACGCGGAACCCTAATTATAATGTAAACCCCCGAAAAGTGCCTCGCGTTTATTATAGTAAACTGGTCAGTTGGGCGAGTTAATTGATACTGATTGAACATGGTTAAAGTTGCGCAGAAAAAAAGACAGAAAAAAATACCGAGAGACGTCGACGACAGGCAACCGCACACTCACAACTAGCGTGTATTGGAAGGAAGCAGGAAAAAAGCCTCTTTCTTCCAATACCTGCGAGTTATGAGTGCGCTTTGTCCGTCGTCTTCGTTCTTCTCTCCCCTGTTCCTGTCTCCTTGTGCTTAACTTTAACCATGTATACGCATGTTTATTGATTACTGTTTTGAAAACACTATTCTCACAAATTTTTGTAACCTCCTTTAGTGACGTATAAGGTTGGTCAAATCTCCCGGAAGATCTAATACATCATCCACTGTATAATATGTGTCCCATTCATATTGTGTCCTTGTGTCTTGTTTCCTATAAGGGTACGTACGTCTGTCGTTAAAACTTTACGTGCCCACTTTGCTGTGCAGTTCCCCCCCCCCCCCCCCTCCAAAATCGGAGGGTATCTCTTCACTTTCCTTCCAGCCCATCTCGTGAAGTGTTGATGAATAAAGGAATGTACAGCAAATACACAGAGTGTTCTTCAGCTCTATTCAGTTGTGCAAAGACCGTACGAATAGACCAATGAACGGAGTGCTATGAAGCATTGCTCGAAAATGTCCTGATGCGGTGCCTTTATCATATACTCAAATTTCGTAAGTGTTCTTGAGAAAAGAAAATCATAATTTTTATGCACAAGGAAGAAAACGGAAACAATTAACCGACCTATTTAAAATCTGTGGCTGCCACAGATAGGATCGCATATAACAGAAACTTTAATCCGTCTTTGAGATGAACGTCCAAAACTCACAACTAGGGAATCCGAGCGTGTGTGGTACCATCTGTAAGTAACAACGTCAATAAGGCGATTTTCTTTCTTTTTTTTTTTGTTTTTGTTTTTCGTGTTGTTTGTAGAAATAGCATGTTTTTATTTCTCTCGATGTTTTTCCAGGAGCCTACATTGCGAAAATGTTTGCGCAATAAATGCACCAGTAAAGAAACCCTAGTGAAAACCTTAATTCTATCATTTATTGGTTTATAGTTTTTTTTACGTCTGAATAGCTCCAGGAAACACCGTATACGTCACTCACTGAAGGCTACAGTGCGGCTGGACCAACACAATCAAGGCCTCCTTGAAACGTCATCATGGTCGAATGGCGCCAACTCGGCAATTGGACCCGAGCCCAGTGTAGAGCGTCTTTAGACGCGTTTGATTGGACACGAGCCCTTGCCGAACGATGACGCACTGCAGCATTCGTCCGTCTCCAATAGACGGCTTCGCTCGTTCTGACTGGGATGGCGTCAAGATTCAATAGTGGATGCGGGGCTTCGATTTTTCCGGATGGTGTTGACATTCGCAAATAAAATATTATCTCATTTATCACTTTATGTACGCAAAGTACTATCGATACTGTAACTAACACGTGACTAGATCGACGCCAGTCGCCTTTTGGGTGTGGTGATATATAGAAGCAACCGATAGCTGCGTCGGCCAAAAAAATCTGTACACCATTAAAGTTGAGATTGATATATTGCATAGTGAATCTTACGCGATTTAGGACCTTCTACAGATTTTAGAAAACAGTCTCTCAGAATTCTATGGAATTCTAAAAGACGGTTTTTGGGAGACCGCATTTTAGGACCGGCTCCTAAAAGACGGTCCTAAAGGCTAGCGTCTGTCAGGAGACCGTCCTTTTTGGGGAGTCCGTCTCCTAAAAGGTACCCGAATTTTAATTTTAAAGAGTCAGTGACGCGCCACAAATAAACTTTTTTTTATTCGCCCGAAGCGATCGATTAATGTGTCCAAACAGTAAACCTAAAAAGAAACAAAAACAAAAACAAAAAAACAAAAACACACGAATACCATGGTATTATGGAGATTTATGACGCAGCAGCACAAAGCGTGGGACCGCGCTCTTGACCTGGGAGAAGCGAGTGATCGCCACGTATATACGTATGTATATATACCGCCCACCGGCAACTGACGTGTATAGGCACCTGCAATGCTGGTTGGTTTGGCGCCATCTATCGACTGAAGCAAGAAACATTCCGTATGCCTTGGAGTG